CATGTAAACAGGGCATAAGCTTCTTAACTTTAACTGCACACACCACTTACCGAGAAGCAGCTGGAGCAATGAATTTTGTTGTGTTCCAATAATATATTAAATGTTGTTGCACCCACCACATCAACCATTGGAGCATGATGTTTAGGGGAAAAAATGGGACACGTTGACCGCTGGAAACTCCGAAGAAATATATCAGTGTAATGGATGATGAGGGCCTAGAAGTTGATTTATTTTTGGACAAAAATTCAGTCTTGAAATATATTTTTTCAGGTATGGAGAGAGTATTCGTAGTCTCTTTCAAATCTTTCACCCTATTCGCTTGACTTATAAGCCGTACTTTTTCAGCCAACGAATAATAATTTTCTCTCACAATAAATCAACCAACAGTACTTTCAGTCATGGCTTATCAGCCAAGCGAACAGGACATTTATTATTACTAATAAACTTTATCTTGTATCAGTACCAAACTTTGTCTCCACTTCCCCATCATATTCATTCTTGCCGGACTTTATTTTGGTGAAATCAACTATTACGCTCCAATCAACAGTAAGTCATTTTTGTGTGGCACCCTTTAAGGGGATCAAAGACGGCCATGTTTAGATTGAAGTGAAAATAGGAACAATATAAGTTGCACGTGCATTATCTTGTTTTACATGTTATATAAAACCGGGTGGCAGGCCATGTGAAGCTAATTAAGGTGAGTGTAAGATTGATTTTTCTGTTGGGTGAAGGAGTAGATGGTCAAATACATTCCTTTCATCAAGTTACAATAAATGTATCTAAGTTGCCTCAAAACTGTACACTACTACGTGATATTGCGGCAAAATCTATGTAAATATGAAAAAACTACAAACACAATGTCCCAATCAAACAACCATTTAAAAAATGAACAAAATTAAAGGTGTATTTGATGATTGAAAGTCAATTTATGTGTTTGTTTGGCACGGCTCTGACGACTCCTCTTTGATAAAAAAAACAGTTTTTTCTCTTGAAGTGTTTGGTGCGACTTTTTTTTGCCGAAAGCTACCGTCGAAACCGTAGCCGTGACCCTGTGTGTCTTGAGAAATGAGAAGCTTGAATCACATAGTGTAAAGAAGCTCAGCGGCGTAGCCTAATACTGATGGGTGAGCTGGTGCGTGCAGCCAAACCATCATACGTCGGTACGAAAGGGCAATGATAGGTTTAGGCTTGCAAATGCTGCAACTACTTGCAACGTAATCTCTCCATTCATATCCAGATAGATGATCCAAAGCAACACTTTCCAGTACCAATAGTTTAAGCCCTGGCCTGAACACCACCATCTAACGAGCAGCAAGCTAGTGGCTGGCAGTAGTACTCCCATGCATAATTAATTAGACGCCAACCGTTTTAGTTTGTCTCTAATTGCATGCGTCTGTGACATCTTTAAACTAAGTTGCTGTTTGCTTTAACGTGTCTGCACCTTTTTCCCCTTGATAAAGAGAGCAGCAGGCATGCTAGCATTATTCTTTCGTCGTGGTCTCGTGGTACTCTGGCCAAAGTGCTCTTCAAAGCAAGTACCAGTACAATCTTGTGTTGCTCTTAGCTAGTGACAGGAGATGCATGAGAAGAGGGACGGCCGACCGTCAGGCAGCAAAGGACGCAGGCAAGGAGACACAGGAGAAGCAAACAGTGCCAAGTTGTTATCTCGAACAAAGAAAAGAAAAAAAACATAAGGAAAACTCACGTAGCACGTCCCCATGGGAAATAGCTCTAGCCATTAAAAAAATGAACAAATCAAACAGAAACGGCGGCCCCTAAACCTGATCGAATCTGGAGCACTGATGCTGCTGCATTGTTCATCATCTCTAGCACAACACAAGACTATAACCCACACACTCGTAGAATCGCAAGCGCTATACGAAGGCCGTTGGACTTATATGAATGAAGTACTCGCTCCAATTTTTTATTATCAATTTAAAAAGTTTATGTAGATTAACAACATAAAATTTATATTTCTAAATAGAAATAATTTCATAAGATATAATTCATGAGGTGTGAAACTATATACATTTTATAAAATTGATTATTAAAGTTATAAATGTTTAATTTAAGATAAGTTTAATAGATTACAGTTTGCTATAATACAAGTTAACTATGTACCCATCTGATTAGTCCTAGCCAATTTAGTAAAATTATAATAGCAGTCTTCAAATTTTCCTTTTTTTTGCTGCCATAGAGGTACCTGCATTACTTAGTAACGTAAAAAGATGTCTCAAGATTCTCTCCGCTAAGCCAACATTTGGCGATCCAATAATTTTTAATACTCCCTCCATCTTCCCAAGAGTGTTATTCTCGCTTCCCGATAAGTCAAATATTTTTGTCATTATAAGAAAATATTAATATGATGCATAGAAATCATTAGATGAATCGCTAATAATAAACTTATTTAGAGATATAAATGTTACTAATCTTTTCTTCAAACTTAAGAAAAATTGACCAGCACATATCTCATAGCGTCATTCTTTTTAGGATGGGGGGAGCAAGTTTAGTAGGTGTGGCACACATCGTATATTGGTTTTATTTGCGAATTTTGCAGCTAAGCCATTTCTTTGAATTCTTGCTCGACTGAGACATTTCTTTTAATCTCTTTGTTCTATTCTAAGTCTAATGCCACAAACACAATTCTTTTAACTATCAACCAACTATGTCATTGTGGTTAGGGCATGGATGACTCTCTAGTCGCAAATAAGTGATGCCAGGTGATGTTTTAGACTTCAACATAGTTTTGAAATTGTGACTTTTGACTATTGATTTATTTACAAAGTATTTATTAAGACTTAGAAAAAAAATATACTTTTACAAAACTACATTTTGAGACTAACATTGCTATAGAAACAATTTTCGGAGACGTCATATTTTTTTCCATAGATGGCTCCATCAAGAACCATATATAAAAATGGTTATAGAGACAGCTTGTCTAAAAAATCGATTTCTATTTAGTGTTTCCAGCCATCTCTAAAAATATCCTTGATCTATTTTTAGAGGTAGTTGCCTCTAAAATCGCATTTCTAGATATGGTTGGAGTTCCCAACCACCTTTAGAAATAGAGGCAGTTGAAAACACTAGGCCTCTAGAAATCTATTTCTAAGGGCGGTTGGATACCGGCTCCCAACCATCTAAAGAAATCTATAATTTGTCAGGACATATAAGTAGAGATGGTTTTTCTGACAACTTCTATAAACTGATTTTAACCACCTCTAAAAAATGGTTATGTATAGTGTAATATAAGAGTATAATTTTCAATATCAGAACTCAATACACTAAATGTAATATGCAGCTAAAGTTTGAAACCGGCCTCAAACGTGACTTTGTGACTGCATGAAGTACTTAACTATTCACCTACTCCCTCCTATGGTAAATGTTAGTGTATTCGAAAAATATGTCAAACACATTTATGTGACTCCATTGACTGTGGAACCATGGCTTTTACTTATTTATGTGAGTTAGGTCTAAATTGGCACAGCTTGTCCTTACTAGGGCTCGTACTGTAGAAAAAGTCATTTTTTCTCTCTTTCCAAAATAAACTAGAAGCTGGTGAAGCCATAATTTTTTTTCTAGCTTCACCCGCTCTAATTCTCCATCTACTTAGCATGGGCGGAAGCCCAAGGAGTTGTGAGGCAAGCCCTTGAAAAGAGTGCTTTCGATTCTTGGTTTAGGTTTGCCAGACTCGCTTGCGCGAGCAAGCCTCGCCTTGCTAGCCAAGGCGAGCCAAAACTACTGTCCGGCCAAAGTAAGGAAAAAGCTTGCTAGCATAGATTCACCTGACAATAACTCAGTGATCTGATCCAATTCAATATCTGTGGAACCAAACACTCTCTAAGTGTAGAAGTGTAAGGATGACTACCAAAAGGGAAAATGAGAATTGGTAAAACGATCCGCAAACCAACCTAAGGTTAAGGTTAGACCCTATTTAGAAAGGCTCTCAGCGGTGCGGCTCCTCTAGCTTACATTGTTCATGGCATTGTTCACCAAGATTCTTTTTGGCCCCTTATTGTTCATGACACTGTTTATGAACACCTGTTTTTGGTACGGAGTGAAAGCCGAGCCAAAAAAAAAAGCCCAGCTAAACAGTCCCTTACAATCGGAGAGAGGGATTGCTATGAGTTTTGCCCCTCCAACCAACTTCAACTTTAGAGTCATGCATGTGGGATTTATTAACTGAACTTCAGGCGATATCATCTCTCATTGGGTGTTTTGATAATAGATATTATGTATTGGAAAATACACCGTACCATTTTAGCTTTAGAGACAAACCGAGAGTATACTAGGAGTATATAGTGAAGAAAATATTCCTGACAAAATACGATATCGATAATGTAAATAAATAAATTAAAATATAATTTAATTACAAGTGACCAACAACAGGTTAAGAGATGAGTAAAGCACAAATTACATGTGTCTCAGCCATCCAATCACATCACGAATGGCATGCAATCGAACAACATCCAGAACCAAGAGCACAAACAGATCCATGATATCATCAGTAGGCAAAGGGACCATAAAAGTGAGAGGAACCACCAAGGTATTAAATTTAAAGGATATCAAATTGAACAAGGGTGGTAGCAGCGTAGCACCAAGCAAAGCAAATCCAGCGCATGCGTCAAACACCACATGCACGCACCGGCACTCCACACAACACACGGACGGAGGCATCCAGTAGGTAGCTAGTGAGAAAAAAGCACACACGGTACCTGCAGCCTCTCTTCGTTCTCTTGCACACACACTACTCACACACACTAAGGCCTAAGCTCAATCACTGATCTACCATGCATCACCCGGCCCTGTCCATGGTCATGGATGTATCCTCCTATCACCGTAGCTTTTAGTTTGATTAGCTTGCATCAAGTGACATCAAGTTCTACAGCAACAACGAACTACTTAACGTACATGCAAGAACAACGGAAGCTGCGTAATAGCTTGTTGGCACGAGTCACCAGCAATGGCGATGGCGCGCGGCCGGCCGCCGGCCAATAGCTAGCTCAGAGCCAGAGCGCGCCGGCCTCCTTGAGGAGCGGGACGAGGGAGCCGTTGATGTGCGCGGCCATGACCCGGTCCATGGCGCCGACCAGCTTCCCGCCGATGAAGACGACGGGGACGACGGGCGCGCCGGCGGGGCCGTAGCCGAGGAGGCGGGCGAGGGCGCGCTCAAGCTCGCGTCCCCGTGGGTCCAGATCCAGCTCGTGCACCGTCGGGTGCACGCCCATGCCGCAGAAGAGCCGCTTCACGGCGTGACACATGCAGCAGCTGCTCACGCTGAACACCACCACCGCGCTCTCCGACGCCAGCCGCTCCACGCGCGCCACCGCGCTCTCCGCCATCGGCGTCGCTGCCACCGCCGCCGGCATGTACCACGCCTGCTCCGCCGCCGCGTACTGCATTGTCGCTCGCTACTGAAAGTGAAAGGGGGTCTCTCTTGCCGCTAAAGGCGACCACACGCAGCAAGTTGTGAGAGGAGCTAGCTAGTCTGCTGGCTGGCTGGCTGCACTGCTAGCTGGAAGCAAAGGCTGGCAATGAGCTGCTGAGGTGAGAGCTTGAGGTCTTGGTGAGTGCTGATCAGGAAGTGAAAGGGGTATGTATATATATAGAGGAGGGAGGGGGTGGTTTGGTAATTTGGGGGAGGCAGGGAAAGAAGGATAGGCACTTCCAAGCCAATGAGGTGTTTTTGGGGTTGTAAGCCAATGCCGATTTTCCCTCTCTTTCTTGTTTGCCACTAGTACTTATTTTATTGTCCAATGTCTGATGACGTGACGATTTCAGACTAGCAGGAGCAGTAACTTGATACTGTAGTTAGTTATAGTAACCACCAGTCACCGAGAAGTAATGATCTTTAGTTTGGCCGTAATTATAGTTTAACTTTGATGCTTGGATATGTAGCGAACATGGAGTAGCTGGGAAAGAAGTGAAACATGTCAGCTTCAGCCAAAACGTCCATTGTAGTGGTAGCTTTCAGCTGGCCTTCTTAATTGAGTTTTTTTTCCTTGTTTGAGATGATTTAGTTGAGTTCATAATCCACGTTGAAAAAAAAAAAACTATTTCCAGCATCTGCAAAGATTGATCTAACAGTACTGTTTCGCCAATCCCATATGTCGTGCTGCATGGAGACAGGCAACTGGATGAATCGAACGCTAGGCTTTTCATGCCATTGCCGGAACACTGCAAGTGTATTACATCACGTAGATGTCCCTTTGTCCCCCTTGCCTTTGCGCATACCACTTTTCTGTGGCACAGCCTGTCTTTATCACTGCAAAGTGAAGGCATTCCTGAAAATTTGTTGGAAGATTTGACGGCGAGAGGGAGTGGAAAGCCATGCAAAGACCGGCTTTTCCTTCCACTTCACTTCAACGAGTCTTCAGCCTATATTTTACAGTCTTCAGCCTATCTTTGACGAGTCATTTTAGGTCAAAAAAATTCTCAAAATGACATAAACAACAAATAATGATACTTTTTTTAAAATGACAATGTCTAACAGTGGTTCAGATGTTGCATTTGAGCACCAAACTGTAAAATATAAAGGCTAGCAATTTAGCATGAGACTAGCAAACGTGCATGTACGTTGCAACGGACTCAAACATATAGGAATCGGACTTCGTATAATTGCTAAATGCTAGTTGTTCTAACTCATACGAGCATGGATCACGTGCGAGGTACGGAGGGTGCGATCTAATACGTATTGAAATCAGATTCCGTATTGATCATCACTAGATGTGACTTGTTCTAAACTCTTATGAAAAAGAACATCAACATTCGTTAACAATTTATTTGTGTGTTGTCTTATTTCTGTTTTGAGATTTTCTCGATTAAAAATGAGTCAAGCTCAAACTTAAGCTAAAAGTTACTAGCCTCATGAGCTCAAGCAAAACGTATGTATTTCAAATTTGTTGTCCAATGCAAATCTTCGATCGGAGCCTACAAAACAGACAATTGCTCGAGCCCAATTACTATATAGACACTGGTTCACTAAGATTATACTAGTCCTATTTGATAAACAACTTAAGGCTCACAAACTACTTGTGTTATAGACTCACCTTGACCTTGATTCAAGATTCAAGATTCAAGATTCAAGATTCAAGATTTGCGCATCATTGTAACTAAGTTAGAAGAGTTTAACCAAACAAACGACACACTTGTGACAAGCGCCCTAGGAGGTCTATAGGACTACAACAGGAGGCTGGACCGCCCTAGCATATAAATTTAAGTTTCAATATTACACAAATGGTAGACGACCGAGTTTAGGCGGCGACACCACCTAAGAGGTTGGCTTATGTCTCTGCTGCTGCTGCTGCGCAACCTAGTTCCGACGTCCAGGAAGAGCGCACCCAGCGTGCTTCGATGTTGGAAGCTTTCGTCCCAGCGTTGAAGAGCCCCTCGTGGGCCTTACGTCCCGACACGCTGGGCGTTGATAGTCCAGTGGCCAAGCCCATACACTGCATGACCCCATATCGCTTCGAAAAAGGCACCTAAGAGAGGCTCTGAGCCGCCTACTCCACAACGGGAGCACCGACTTAGCGGTGAGACGGCCGCTTGGGAGGCTAATGAATTAACGAGGAGTCGACGTTTTTGGCACTCGGTTGGTGAAGCTCTTGAAACGTCGTGCGGCGGGTTGTCACTGTCCTCAGCCGAATGGTCGTTCCACGGCGGCGTATTGAGTAGGTTAACGTCCGTCGTGGGCTTGATCGGACCCAAAGCCTGTTGGATAGCCTGCCTCGTCCTCCGTAGATATATTAACTCTCGAAAGCTCCCCCTTCCCCTGAGCGCCCCCAACGAGCAACTCGGGGTGACCTCGCCTGCGCCCTAGGCACCCTTCCTTCCCCGCCCCCCTCCGGCCACCGTCGTCACCCTCTCGTGCGCACCGACGGTGTTGGATGATTTAGCTTCGGCAATGCCTAGCAACGTGATCGCGTAGATGGAATCAGATGGTAGCACACGAGACACAAAGATTTATACTGGTTTGGGGCGCGGTGCCACGCTAAACTCTACTCTAGTGGTGCGGCTGCTCTTGTATTCGTATGCTCAATTACAGGGGTTGTTGCTCCTAACTACATAGTAGATTAGAATGGTGGAAGATGGACCCTGAGCCCAAGGTCCCTACCCTCCTTTATATAAACAGAGGGGGCAGGGTTACAATGAGGGCGATCGGGCTAACATATTGGTTTCCTAGTTTGTTACTGTTGGCATTTCTTAGCGTAATCACCAAGTGAGGAGGTTTTAAGTCCATCACCGGCAACGACGCCAAAAATGTATGTTGGTATTTCTTAACACCATTACTAAGATTGAGTTAATTTTAGCAACGCCGCCAAGAAACACCAACTACGATAGTTCTTAACGATTATATAAATTATCCGCAAGCGCACGGATCTATCGTTGTAGTATTTCACCCGAAAGTATTTAGGGTATCGTTATTTATATTTTTTCAAAGGAGGGCAAGGTATAAGAGTCTATCATAGTTATAAACATGATTACATACTTGCATAGTGAACCATAGTACACGACATGGGTAAAAACGGTATTTCATGGATAGTGGACACACATCTGGGCCAACCTCAAGGATAAAAGGAAAATAAAGAATAAAAGAATGTTCCTAAGCGGAGCCGGCATGGTCTAATATTTTGTCAGCAGTACATAATGGCCCCGTTCGCGTGCCCTTAAACCCGGCTTGATCCGCTTATTTTTTCATCCGAAATAGTGTTTTTCTTTCACAAATTCCTCCAGCATTCCTCCAAACCATCCAGATTCCTCTAAAATTCAGACAAGCGAACAGGCCCTGTCTTTCATGTTTCCCAATTAAAGAAGTGTTTACGAGTTCCTGAGGAAGTGGTGGAAATTGAAGGACTCCCTCTCCAACCTGATCTTTCTTATATTGAGCATCCTGTCAAAATCTTGGATGAAAAGAGAGAGTTACTAGAAACAAAGTGGTGAAATTTTATAAAGTCTAGTGACAAAATCATTCGGAGGACGAAGCAACATGGGAATAGGAGAGTTATAATCTAGAGCATTATCCCCATCTTCTCCCCGGTGTGCCGAGGTAATAGTTTATGTTAAAAGCTCGCCCTTACCTTTTTGCCTACACTAGGCACTCACATGAAATGTCGGGATGAGATTTTGTTTAAGGGGGGAGAGTTGTAACACTGAAAGGTCCTAATGGCTAGAGGGGGGGTGAATAGCCTAATAAAATTCTACAACAACACTTAACAAAATGTGTTAGATAATTTTGCGGTGAAGCGAGTGTTGCGCTAGCCTACTCAAAGATGCAAGCCACCTACCACAATTCTATTTCGAATAGTGTATATCCACACAATAGCTATGACACTTAGCTAAATTAGTGTGCTCTCAAAGACTAACTAAAGAGCAACACTAATCAAACAAGCAAGCTCTCACAACTAGCTACACTAAAGAGCTTGATAACTAGTTTATGTAATGTAAGAGTGAGCAAGAGAGTTATACCGCCGTGTAGTGGTAGGAACCAATCAATCACAATAATGAATACCAATGTATACCAATCACCTCGGAATCAAATGATGAACACAATGATTTTTACCGAGGTTCACTTGCTTGCCGACAAGCTAGTCCTCGTTGTGGCGATTCACTCACTTGGAGGTTCACGCTACCGATTGGCATCACTCGCCAAACCCTCAATAGGGTGCCGCATAACCAACACAAGATGAGGATCACACAAGCCACAAGCAATTTACTAGAGTACGTTTTGGCGCTCCGCCGGGGAAAGGTCAAGAACCCCTCACAATCACCACGATCGGAGTCGGAGACAATCACCTCCTCCACTCAACGATCCTTGCTGCTCCAAGCCATCTAGGTGGCGGCAACCACCAAGAGTAACAAGCGAAATCATGAAATAAACACAATCACCAAGTGCCTCTAGATGCAATCACTCAAGCAATGCACTTGGATTCACTCCCAATCTCACTATGATGATGAATCAATGATGTAGATGAGTGGGAGGACTTTAGCTAGGCTCACAAGGTTGCTATGTCAATGAAAATGTGCAAGAGAGCTCCCTTGAGCCGGCCATGGGGCTATAAATAGAGCCCCAATCAAATAGAGCCGTTGTACCCTTCACTGGGCACAACGCGGGGTGACCGGACGCTCCGGTCCGATCGACCGGACGCTGGCCCTCAGCGTCCGGTCACATGATACATGCCACGTGTCCCCTGCTTCAAATGCTGTTCGTTAGATTTCAACGGTCGCGAAGCTGACCGGACGCTCCGGTAAAACTGACCGGACGCTGAAGCCCCAGCGTCCGGTCGTTTCTAGTAAGCTCCCCGAGGCATGTTTTTTCGACCAGACGCGTCCAGTTCACCTTGACCGGACTCAGCCAGCGTCCGGTGGTATACCCTAGCCATCGTATCACGAGTCGTCATGATCG